AGTGCCTTGTTTGTTGCAGTACATTATCCAAGCGGACCATGCTTCTTCATACGTGACATATGATTTATGCTTGTTACCCTTGTAGCCACTAACCTGTGCTTCACATTCTTCCCAACAGTAATAAATTCCTGGCTTCCGTCCCTCAAACACGACATAAACCTTTGCCTGAGAGCTGAGTGTACTCATTTTTTTTTGGGTTGAAAGAGGAGGTAGGGATGAACTCAACCTCACAATACACATGGTGTTAATATTTAATTTATAAATGATTATAATAAAAATTGAATTAATTTCACTCATGTTTAATATAGGAAAATTGATTTTAAAAATAATCTATTTTAATTCTTCTGTCCAAATCCTGTAAAAACATGAAAATACCCAACTCTGTTACTGCAGCAAAAAGGGCAGGAAATAGTTGCAACAGGCCTAATTCACTACTGTTTTTAGATGCAATGCAATCTTAAACACATTTATTCACAGTCTCCCTGGAAAGGGCTAAAACGCTGGCCTCGAGTGAGTTTATAATAGAAATGATGATAAAAAAAATGGCATGTATCTATCTCTTCCCTGTCTGTCTTCTGAATTCGAACTTAATATTAACAACAACCCTTTTGCCTACACTGCTCCCACGTTCCCACAGGTCTTGATTAGGAATGGCAAGGAGGTTTTATGATACTCGTCCTCGTCCCTGTTCCTGTAAGTCAAATTTATCTCTGTATTTGTATTTGTACTTGTCAAATATATAATTTTCATTCCCGTCCTCATTTTTATCCTCGTCCCCGTCCCAATGTACCTGTACCCGTTAAAAATTATTTTATTTTATTTTTTATAAAAAAAATATACAATATTTTTAAATTATTTTTTTATTATATTATAATTATAATTAGATTATTTCACTATCTCATATTTTAATCAAGAGATTTCTTAATAATTAAATAATTATAAATGTTTCACACATTATATTAAATAATTATATATAATGAAATATTAAAATTCTTTAACACAATTAAATTAGGGTGAGTATTAAATTGAGGATGAGGACGGGGACAGTACAAGTACAGAACAGATAAGTATATATTCGTACCCGATTTAATATATCAAATTTTATCTGTACTCATATCCGTACCCGATCAAACCGGGTATTTTTCGTCAAAATCAAGACAAATTCGAATATTATCCACGGTTACGAATTTATTTGTCATCCCTAATCATGATTTTCTCCTGTCCAACTTCATTTTGTAAAGAAAGATTTAATATTAACATATACCGGCTTAAGAAATTAAAAGTCAAAAGCTATAACTTGTTATTCATATTACAAATTTCCATAATCATAGGTGAGGTCATTAACGGATCCAGAAATTTTAAATAGAAGGAGCAATACTTATTCATATATTGTATTATTAAAAATTTTACATATAACTTTTAAAAGCATAAATATATATCATAATTATTTTTTACAAGTTTTTATATCTACAATTACAAGTAAAGATGAAAATAAATTAGGTTAGACTAAATTTTATTATAATTTAATAGGTTTGAAATTAATTTTCTTTAAAAAATATATATTCTAAATATGACTTATTTATCTATCATAGACATTTTTTAATTGTTTGACTAGAATTACAATCTTAAAGACCTACTTTATAATAATTTAACACTATTAAAAAAATGTTAAATTTTATAAAAATTAAGTTTAATTTATTTATGATATAAACACATTTTTAATATTTAATATATATTTTTAGATGATAACTTATTTTAAAATATATTTTATAATAACAATTCTAAATGGAACATAAATCTTCTGATTTTTCTTATTTTAATTTTTTTAATCAACATATACAATAACTAGAAAACGCAAAAGGTAAACATGCATACTGTAAATTTTATTTTATCAAAAATTGATTTTTTTAATATATTACATTATATATGTGAGTATTAAGATATATATATATATATATATATTATAATTAGACTTTTTAAGAAAATTGATTCGTTATTAAGAAGTATTATTTATCACATAAGAGTATTAATATCCTTCAAAAGTTTGACAAATATCAAATAAATGAATCTCTTTTCTAAATCTATATTTTATACATATGATAATTTAAATATATTTATTTATTTTATTAAAATATAATTTTATTTTAAAAATATATTATTTTTTAAAATAAAAAAAATAAATATGTATGTGTGAAATAGTAAGTGTCCCCACTACTCATAATGTGGATCCGTCGATGGGTGAGGTAACAACAAATCAAAATATAGTCTAACATGTACACACATTCATTCATAACTCATAATTATACATTATAATTAGATTTTTCCAAACTCTAAATTGCAAAACCTGATTTTGCAAAAGTAGAGAGAAAACAAATGTGCATACCGTTGGATATAAGTTGCAGAAACACAGAAATTATAACTGAACTATAAACTGCAAACAATGTATACATTGTCAAATCACACAAATCTAATATACATGTTGCACCATGTAGAGATCAAGAAAGGGGCTTACAGATGCAACAAAGAAAAGGTTCCATCCTTGTTGTCATAGATCACAAATCCAAAACTGCCTTCAAGTTCTTTGATCAGAACTCAGAAGGGTACGGACCCATTCAGGAGAGAGTTCGATATGTTTTAATGATAAACATGATATCATTTGTTTCTTTTGATAGACCATAGTGCTTGTCACTACAACAAATGTGCTAAATAATAGAGGTTATTTTTGCGTTTAGTGGAGGTTTTTACCCTCCGCAAAATAAATTGCAGAGGTTTTCAAAAACCTCCGCAGTTACATTCGCCACAAGCAATTAGCGGGAGTTTTTAAAAACCTCTGGTATCGATAGTATTTTGAGGAGGTTTTTTTGTGGAGGTTTTAAACCTACACTAATTGTGGAGGGTTTCTAAAAGAGGTTTTAAACCTACGCTAACTATGGAGGTTTTTTAAAGGTGGTTTTAAACCTACACTAACTATGGAGGTTTTTTAAAGGTGGTTTTAAAAATAAACTAAATATGGAGGTTTTTTAAAGGAGGATTTAAAACTACGATAACTATGAAGGTTTATTGAAAGATGTTTTAAAACTATACTAACTATGAAGGTTTTTTTTTAAAGCATTCTAACAATAGAGATTTTAGAGTCGAGTTTCTAATTCTCCCTATTTTCTTGTATATGACAATTTTTTATACTTATTTTAATTTCATAATTTACATGTATTACAATTTCCCATTTTCTTATGATATCTATAAAAAAATTAATAAAAAAATACTCATAATGTGGACGTAGAAATTATATTTCCAATAACAAAAATAACAGTGTATAGTTCAAAAATTTACAATTCAAATTTCTATTGTAAATCAAAGTATGACATAAAATCCATAAAAAAGTAATATTAGTCTTGAACTAATTAAACTTTAAATCCAAAATACATTATAAGCAAACTAAGGGTTGTTAGCACTAGAAGATCCTCTTGCATCCAAAGGTGTATTAGGAACACTTGAAGCATCATTTGGCTGAAATAAGAAAAGAAAAAATAGTTAGTTATATATACTATATATATACAAGGGTGTATCACACATACTATATCATAATGACAATCAATAAAAAAAAAATCAATTCCAAACAATTATTTTAATATTCCAAACTTATGCATAGTTATTACTTTGATCATGTATGTTTACTTATAGACCTAACTTGAGATAAAGAGTATTAAGAACTAGCCAAAATGAAGAAAATTAGACAATGATGTTAATGAAGAGATGTGGCTCAATATTGTTGGTTAACTATAAAATCTACCTACAAAACTATATATTAGCTTAATATTCACCCCTACCAATTACAAAATATATTTCCTTAATAATATGAATAAATTAATTAACTATAGACATATGTCAAACAATTTTAAGAGAACATTGTGTATTATTGCACCAGCTAAATTTCAGCACCTCCACAGAAAAAGGTGAATATTGCACCAGCTAAATTGTTCCTCTAAAGAACTTCAGCTACAAGCTTTAAAAACAAATAAGGAAAGTTAGTATTATATAAGAGATGTTAATATAATATTTTTTAATAATTAAAGAAGTTAGTGTGAGATGTAAAAACTAGAACTTATGTTAAATCTCAGGAAATTTTAAGGATTGTCAATGTCATTTATTCTAATTTTTCCATCGAGTGAAAAAATTTCTAAGAAAAAAATTGAGTAAAAAATACTGAAATAAAGAAAAATATATAGTATTATATATATTTTTACTATTTAACACAAAAGGTTAAGCATTTTTATCAATTTAACGGAATTGTTAACTAAAAGTGGCTAGTTATTTATGATTGATTGTCTTACCTTGGCCTGCCCTTGAGGTGCTGGAGAATATGGATGCCAGAGCAAAGGGTATACTGTAAGTAATCTGAACAAATGAACCAACAGAAATTGTTAGGTTGGTACTGTGTCTTCGCGCTGCATAAAGCTCTTTGACTTTTCTTTTGTAAACCACTTTTAACCTTTTTCTTAAAGAGAAATAAGTGGATAATTGAAGAAAAGTAAAGAAGTTTCCCTATACAAAGAGCGTCACGAAAAAGCTATACTGCTGTTTGCAAATTATAATGCAAAAGTTAAATGCATTCAATACAATCACGATGTATCCACTGGAGCCTCAAACTTTGGATAACTAAGAGATTCAATTATATCTTTTATTTTATGAGTTAATATGATCTGTTTATTATAACATATTTATCCGATCCTTTTCTATTTCTCTCATTTTTATTTTTTGTTTGTTGAAATTAAGGATTAACTGAGTATAGGGTAGGGCACATATATTAGTCCTCCCTCTGCACCTTTATTGAAAAATGAATCCATTAGTGTCACGAGTGGCACTATTTAGTAGCATATTTTGTAATTAAACTGACGGTTCACAATCAGAAAATACTTGAAAACAATTTGTTGGTTGTCTTTTCTAGCTCAAACAAGAAACAAGAGCCAAGCCCACAAATTTATTTTGAAGCACAGTCCAAATAAAATTTTTCGAATCGAAAAACAAAAGTCCTGAGTTTTGAGAAAAAACCTTAGCCCCGTTTTATATTCACGGGGCGGGCCGCAACCGTTCCTCCGTAGACCTCGCGGCCCATCCAGTCGGTGTCGAATAGTAAGAATGGGAACCACGCAATCCAGTTGAGACACGTCACCAAGAGGAGGATCCACATGGGCTGTTTCAGTCACGTAACGGGCATTCTCGTTCGTCCTCCCTCACCCTCACCGGAATCTCAATCTTCAAAAGGACTCATAATTTTGCTGCGAAAGCCCCAGCTCAACGCCTCGCCCAGGTGATGGCTTCTCAAAGTGCGGGGGAAGGAGGAGGAGGAAGACGATCTAGGATTTCGCTACACTGCTCCTCCGCCTCTCTCTTTTTCTAGGAACTCTCATAGATCTCAGTCTCCTGCATTTACGTTTATCTTTATCCAAACTTCAAAAAGATATATATGAATAAAATAAAATTCTCGTGGGTGGAATTATGATATTGATGGATTAGATTATCCATAGGCAGCTTTAAGGGATTTGAAAAAGGAGGAATGAGTCAAAAGCATTGGCTATGTATTCAAACGTTAAACAAACACCGATATATGAATAGTGATTTAACTCTCCAAATAAATAAAATATCACTGCAAATGAAGTTTGGAAAGGTGAAGCTAACCTTGTAAATACAAAGCAGAGGAAGAGCGAGATCGGAAGGCAGAAGAAATCAAAATGGTGCAAACGGGATTTAGGGTTCACTTTGGAGCCACCGGAATCATCACAGGATTTTGGATACATTAAGGAGGCATGTACTGATAAAGAGGGTTTAGGGTTTTCTCTTTCTGATTCTTTTAAGAGGGAAATGAAAAGATTTTTTTTATCTTTTGAGAGGGAAGTACTTGTAGAGTCACATACTAATTTCCTTTTATTTTAACTTTTAGAGAAAAATTATTTAAGTGGAAAAATATTTTTTAATTAGAGGAAGTTATAAACCTCTACAAATTAAAATAATATTTTAATTAGAGGAGGTTATAAACCTCTACAAATTAAACAAAAAAATGACAGATTTTAATAATTTAAGGAAGGTTTTAAAACCTCTGTAAAATAAGAAATATTCTTTATTACATAAAAGAATTAATATTCTTCAAAAATTTGATAAATATCAAATAAATGAATCTTTTTTCTAAATCTATATTTTATACGTATAATAATTTAAATATATTTATTTATTTTATTAAAATATAATTTTTATTTTAAAAATATATTATTTTTTTAAAATAATAAAAATATGTATGTGTGAAATAGTAAGTGTCCCCACTACTCATAATGTGGATTCGTCGATGGGTGAGGTAACAACAAATCAAAATATAGTCTAACATGTACACACATTCATTTGCATAACTCATAATTATACATTATAATTAGATTTTTCCAAACTCTAAATTACAAAACCTGATTTTGCAAAAGTAGAGAGAAAACAAATGTACATACCAGTTGGATATAAGTTGCAGAAACACAGAAATTATAACTGAACTATAAACTGCAAACAATGTATACATTGTCAAATCACACAAATCTAATATACATGTTGCACCATGTAGAGATCAAGAAAGGGGCTTACAGATGCAACAAAGAAAAGGTTCCATCCTTGTTGTCATAGATCACAAATCCAAAACTGCCTTCAAGTTCTTTGATCAGAACTCAGAAGGGTACGGACCCATTCAGGAGAGAGTTCGATATGTTTTAATGATAAACATGATATCATTTGTTTCTTTTGATAGACCATAGTGCTTGTTGAACTTGGTAAGGTTGTGCAGGCCACCCTGGAAAACACAAAATAATCCAATAATTCATAAATTCGTTTTTTTGAAACAATAGATTCATTAACCAATCTGCCTTGAAATTTGAAAAGGGAATGTATATATTGATTATAATAGAATATTCAATCATATCTATATAAGACAATTAAATTAACCTATGCAAGCCATTTTAAGACATACCTATCGACGACTTATTTGAAGGGAAATACGCTAGCTAAACATCAGTCATGGAGAAAGCATAGGAGGAATTTAAGGTCATGAAATCTTTCGCGATTTCATGGCTTGGCTCAGGCTTATTGCATGATCTATGCTCACGTATGCTTTTAATATTTAAATTTGAAGTATTTTTTAATATCATCCGTCACTAGTTCTGCCAACCACCAACTATCCATCCAAATATTTCATACAGATGTGTTATATTTGCTCTCAAAAAAGAGGGAGACCTTATGAGACGCCAAAGCTGAAGGGAGAGATTTTAGGGGATTGGTCGCACACGCAGAGGGGACTCTATGGATTTTCCTTCTTCTACATATTCACACTCACTTTCGGGGGATCTCACAGCCCTTCACGAACTAATATATTCACACTCTCATCATCTTTCTGTCATTCAAGCATACATAAACATTTTTTTTACCACGCATAATAAAAGACTCCAAACCCTTGCATCTCTTTCATGCATCAACGGCTTCCTCCATTTATGACCCCATAGAGCTCATTCTTTACACATTACTCAAAACACCGAGTCTTTACACATTACTCAAAACACCGAGGTCACTCTTTCAGGCACGCATTCACTCGACATAAAACATTCACATGCGGTCCTTTATCTTTTAAAAACATGCAGTTGGTTTCTAAAATAGAAGAGAAAACCTTCCCCTACATATAAAGTCACGTAGCCTCGCGTAGTGCACCACGACTCTCCAACCATTATACCAAGCAAAATAATTCAGCGCACCAACACTAAAACACATCAGATTGAACCAAGATTGTGTCTGCATGCCAGTTTCAAGATCACCACGTGAAATGCTTGTTCTCTTTTAATTATAATTATACTTTTGAATATTCATTATGCACACTATCTCATTGTTAGATTTTTATTTTGCTTGTGTTGTTACGCTTATAATGTCAAACTTAACAAGTTACTTTTGATCTGTAAAGTTTGTCAGATCTTGTTGAATATCTCAGCATGCGTTTCGTTTTTACTGCATTAGTGTCTTTCTTACTATCTTTTACTTTTTTGCTATTAGATATGATGAAGTTAAAAAAAAAAACATATTCCTGCACTACGTTGGAATCTTTCTTAACCAAGGGACTCAAATTGACTTTGCCTCTCTGATACTTCATTTCCGAATTATTTCATTATTTTCTTTAGGTATATGTAGCATATTCGAATAAATGTCACACTAGTTTTGCTTGTACTTTTATCTTATTTTATTTAAATCACAAATTAATTACTCATTTATAGACAAATGGATCTATTAAATGTGATGTATTTTTTGACCTTATAAATTTTTGAAACATGGATTATGACAATTTCATAGTCTTAAGATCTTTAAAGATAAATTATTTTATAAATTATAAACTCTAGAACCAAATTTTATAATATATCAAGAAAGGGACTTATTTAAAATTAAGTAATATTTTACAGAAAAAGGTTTATTTGAATGTAATATTCTCTTATTTTTAGAGTTCTTATTTAAATTCAAAAATATATAAATAAATATTAAATATTACTAAAATATATATAATAAAAATATTTGAGATTATTATAGCAAATTTTATTAAAGAAATGATTAATTAGATGTGATATTTTTAATCTTTCACTTTTAAGGTACTGGCAAGTGAATGTCTTTAAATTTTTCCCTCCAACACAAATATGAAGTCAAAATTAAATGTATGTAATAATAATAATAATAATAATAATAATAATAATAATAATAATAATAATAATAATAATAATAATAATAATAATTAAATATTATGTTGAGTTAGTTTTGGTGTACACTTATGTCAATTTTATACCTCACATATGAGTTGTGATAATTCAAAAATTTTAAATTTAATAAAAAAAACAAAAAAAAATCAATTAAAAAGAATTCTCACACAAATATTTTCTTTAAAGAATTACATGAATTTGATTTTTCATTATATATGGAAATACATAGGAACAAAAAATCATTCTTGTTGAGTCATAAAAATGAAAATAATAATATTATCTCTCATTTTTTTCATAATAATAATAAAAATAACAACAATAATAATAATAAATAATTTTAGTATTTATTAAAATATAATATACACACTTATTAAATAAAATATATTTGATTGACATTGTTAATTTTATTAATTTGAGAATGAGATAAATATTTTAAATGTTATAAATAATTTATTTAATTAATTAAAGATAATTTATTTTTACGATCAGTGTTGTAACGTATTAATACATTTCTTACACATAATCAACTTTAAAACTTAAAATCTGTTTTTGAATACCATTTTCTATTTTACAATTTTTTTAATGTTTTTTTTTCTTAAAATAAACATTTGTGGCAACTCACTATTTTGTCCTTAAAATAAACCTTGGTTGCTAGGTAATCTTAATCTTATCTTAATAATATCAAATCATCTTGTTTTCCTGTCCTACCTCAGACACGTTCTTTAAACAAAAAAAATATCAAGACACGTTGATTTTTCATATTAATTGTTGTATTCATTCTACATCTCTTCCCAAATAATTAACATATTAAAGTGATTAACAAAAATTAATACATGTATTAAGTATTCACAACCAAATATAAAATCAAATCATTTAGGTGTGAACATTAAAAAGTTATATTTTTTATTTATCCTCCTAATTCATTTCCTTTTTCACCTTTTCAAACTCTACTGTTTTCTTTGATCATATGATCTCTTTTATGTGTTTAGCATGTAATATTGTGCTTTAAAAAATTTAATGAAAATTAAAGATACACGTTATTTGATTGTAGTCATTACTTGACAATTTTTATTTTTCTTTCAGGTTGATTTATTATTTTTTAACCAATATTGTAAAACAAATATTTAAAGGTATGTTTTAATTTTATTTTATATTATAATTACAAATCATTACATTTTTATTATTAATTTTTTAAGGTACACTTATATTGTAAACATAAAAAAAAAATATTTTCAATAGAGGATTTATATTTATATTAGATTGGACATTCTTTTCATCTATTTTGATACATAATTTTTTTAATTATTTATATTTTTTGTATGCAAATTTATTGTATGCAAATATAAATAATAATTTACAAGTTAACTTTTTTATTTGACAAGGATTTCCTATAGTGAATTTTGTGATATCGCTCTCTTAAAAAATGAAAAATCATATAAATTTTATGAATCTTATATATAAACATATTTTAATACAATCTTATTTAGCAAATTGAACTTCTTTTTATAACCAT